AGTTCTCTCTACGACGATCAAGAAGGATATCAATTGACTTCTAATCAGTGAAAATCATCGACCTAACACGATGAAAACACGCCGCGTAGTTTCTCGAGGCTCGCAACTCTTCAATCAACTCGATATACAGATAAATCAAACTGGATCACGCGTACACACCAACACAACTCGAAGGTAAAATGACTCTACATGACATGAAAAGGGACCAAGACCTCAATCAAGACGGAGGAACATCCCCCTTCGTCCTCAGCCCCTCGCATCAGTTAAAGGGCGAATCCCGTCAAACACGCGGAGAAACAGGGATAAAAAAATCGGTACAGAAACACAGGTAACCGAATGGGTACATGCAGAACACTAACACTTCACAAGCATTGAAGGTATCACCACGGCCGGTGATGAAATGTTTTCAAACAAATTACCAAACTCGGCGAACAGGCGAAATGGAGTGGGTCGATAAATCGGTCACCATATCTAGACTTTATTAGTGAACTGAATGACTGCATGAAAGGATTGAGAAGCNTGTTATTCCAATCGGCATATGTCTCAGTCATTGAACTGCTGACATTTTGACCCAACATAGAGCGAGTTGGTGAAATGTGTAGCTTTTTCTCGGCCGCCTGGACGAGAGCAGAATTATTTTGTACTCGAATACTTTTCACGTTTAAGAAATCACAATATCTAACACAAGCAATAATTTTAGGTGTACGGTTACGAAACGGCCCACACCCGGGACTTTGTTTCGTCGAACATTTTGTCAAGACTTTGACTAGTTTAATATCTTCACATTGATGTTTTAAGGTATAAACTTGAAGCCATGTCAAGTGATTCATGTCCCCGACAACTTTTATGTAGTTTTGAAAGTTCATCTTGACTTTGGTAACATATATCTTTTTATATTGTTAATATTGTACATTTTGTATGATTCCATTAATAGCTAATATAATGCCAAGGATTTTTTATTGGCTGAAATAATTATAATACTTATGAATACTATGAATTTTCAACAGAAACATTTAGTGTAGACGACTCTTTCGTAATATTACGTCTATTTTTTCTATCCCAATGAATTTTGCAGCTTACTAGAGCTTTCTAGTTTAATGGAAATAATCGCCAATTAAAGTACTGGTGTCTATAAATCATACTTACTTTAACGCTTAGTACAATTTTCAATTCATCTTATCCACCATACGACTAGCACGCACTAGATTGTTGAATTGCTCTCATTGGAGATCGTCTACAGAGCCCATCTACCAATCGACTCCAGATTTGAAATCAGCATGCAAACCATTTTACAACAAGTGCGCTCAGAATTGCCGATTAGAACTTTTTCACATTTAAATGGAAAACCAGTAGAGGAATCTTCAACTAATAAGGCTTACCCATATCAGTTGTGGAAAGTTTTTTTATGGAGTTGATAGTGAGTTCTGATCAGCTACGGCGTGACCTTCTCGGCAAAAGAGTAACACATTGTAGACTCATTGTAGACTCCAGGGATGGAATTTAGGACCGGTTAGTAGATTGGTATCACTGGCGAGATGTGATGAAAAAAAGAACCTCCTGAATAAAAGACAAAGCAAAGGAAATGATTAATGTGCGCGTGAGGATCAAATCGAAAGCAAGATCGGTTATAATCAACTGTAATTTACTTCACACCCCTGGGTACAAGTAGCAGTTAGTTGAGATATTGATAAAAAACATGTAATGAAACCTAAGGTTTAATACTAACTGGTTGAAATGATCAATTGTGAAGGATTTCGAGCTTTCGGAACAGTAAACAAAGACAATGCACATTCATCTTAGTACCAGAGTTATGACCAGCAGGGTCCAGGGAGTTAGAGGTATATGGGGCACGTGATTCATATATATTCACTGAAATCTTACTGAATTCTCTACAATGCTGAAACAGTGTATTATTATCCATAACGCATGAACTTCCCTTTTGGATTTTCAAGTCAGGTCACAGTGGATAACGCTATAAAAGGGAGCTATCCTTTTATTTATTTCATCCCAGATGTCCAGAGTCAGGTTCAAATAGATTTCCTAACGGGGGTTACCTTTTTGTTCATTGTTCACTGTAGGTTTTCTCCAAACTCTTTTCATCACCAAACCTTACCTTACGAAATCTGAAATATGGTTTGGAACTCTATATATCGTTTAACTCATTTGACAGGCACCAGATACCGTGTTACGGTCTTTGGTATTGGTTTCACTCCTTGTTTCATCAATATTTCCTCAAAAGTCATATGCACGTTATTTGGGATAGAAATCATTGTACTGACAGACAGAGAGCACCCGCGGCTGCTTCACCTATGAGCGTACGTTTTATGGCAACCGATCATTCCCCCAACTGGGAGAGATAAAACCAACTAAGCCACAGTGCTTTAGGCATGGTACCAAACAAGTAATTCTTCCTACTAGTAAATCCGGTGGTGATGACAGGGTTCGAGCGTTGATGCAAATCGGGGAACACAGCAGACACAACAAAGTAAACCAATCAAACACTCATCTATGTGGTTCATTTGAGTTAATCGAGGTATAAACCTATCATTCATTTCGCAAATTCTCACTTGACAGTTTTTTGACTACTCCGAATAACCGGTGCAAACCCCTTATTTGGCAAAATCTTGGGGTCACTGGTCTTCGATCCTCCTTCAGCCGGGTCAGTATTTCTGCAACCACTGTCCACGGTTTTTCTCATCACATCTCCATAACAATCACTCGCCCCTCCCCCTTCAAACCTCAAGGATGTTGTCCGTGAAATCTATCACTTCTGCCCGAAATCGAACACAGTGAAAGGATTGAACAACTTTTTTGGTCTACGTCCGGGGAACAAGCTGCTTCTCAACACGATAAAACCGGGACAAATGGACAAAGAGTACGAAAAGTGTGTGTTCAACGCACTGAACGAAGGCCGTAAGTATTAAGGAACTATAACACCGGTTTTATGTGCTGTTAGCATAATTCTAAACAAACAAACCGGAATATTATCCCGGCTTTTGAGGCACAAAATGGAAACCATCTACGTTTTGTACTGAGGTGTCATCCCCGAAATTTTGCAGTATCCATTCGAAATAGAAAAATCTCCGCGTGAGTGAGCAACTTGTAGTAGAGGCTGTGTTTATTGACTTAACTGAATATCAATCTCATGCAAATGATGACTTTCTCATACTAAGACGCTACTTTTAGTTCTTTCTTCAAAAACTGAAAACAGAATTCTTCGTCTCAAGGTTTCGTATCGCCTTTACTAGTCGTTACGAATCTCTGTTCTGGTTTCCCAGTTCAACAGATTCGTACAGAGTGCGTAAGTAGTCTGATGTTATTCATTCTTAAGGGGAGGTGGTTATCTTAACTCGGTCGGAGGATTGAGCGACTTTGTTTCTGACTGGGATAGCCAGGGGAGTGATATCTGTAGCTTGCTTCAACGGGAATCATGAGAGCGCCATCGGATTCTGACAAGACTGGGTTGAACAAACATTCGCCACGAATCACAAGGAAAACGAGTTATAGTAATTCCACTGAAGAAATTGATATCTATATTCCCACATTACTTAGTTCAATTATATGGGCCGATTTTCATCAGAGGTACTCAGCTGACCTTCATTTATATTCAGGTCGTGTTATCTTTTATTTGATTATGGTAGCCGTTTACCAACAAGCGTATGTTTAAAATATTTCAGTGTCCGTGGAAGACTCACTTTTAACCAGCATCATGCTTAAAATATAAATTTGAAGAGAGGGGTCCTGGGCTTATATCCAAATGAATGGTGAACAAATGTGGTCTGAATTTACAAAGACTAATGATGACCGGGCGGCAGAGAAATATTGTTCTATGAGGCACTTCAATCGTTCGAGAACCCCGTTTCTCGAGTGGTTTTATCTGATACAACTTTGGGGATTGCGAGCATAGTTCTAAGAGATTCCATATGCTTGTACAATAGGGATCTCATATGCGTGACAAACGGTTTATGAGTTATAGCAGGAAATGTAGCTGTGTTGCTAGGACTGTGCGGTTCGCAGAATAGATAGTTTCGTGACATATAATTGATTTAACAGGCACTGAAATTCTGTTGGGTGCAGATGGATGCTTTTATGTGATAAAAAAGAAAGAAAATCTTCATGTCTTTCAGTATTTTGTTTTATTCTATGCACCGACCAAATGAATAAAACGTATCCTTAGTGCCTCAAATGTCGTTTTTGCTTTGTACCTTGTTTAAGCAGTCGCATAATTACCTTAGAAATGACTTTCATCGACCAATCTGGATATCAGTCATCAAACAATGAGTTGGATGCGTATAAAAAAGCCCTCTTTGAAAACTGTGCTGGAAAATTATTTAACTACACCGAGTTTCAACTCCTATGACTTGTTCACCCACGGAAATGCGTCTCATGCTGATATCATATTCTGTTTGAAGGGAAATATAAGCGCAAATCTCAGGTCATATATTTTTCTGGTGAGCAAAATCTGTGGAAATCATGCATAAATTACACCGAAGACGGCGACTATAGCTGAAAACATCCGATAACGTGGTGATAAACGTATGCATTCTTCTATGCGAATGAGCCCACGTTGTCTTCCAATTGCGCTTTTGGCACATTTCCTCACTTGCTTTGCTGAAACCAAATACAAACACACACCGTCAGTGAAGATGCCTTTCTTGTATCCGGAGGCATCTCCGAGATTTCACTTTCCACCTAGATTACCGTCGTTGTTGCCCCCTCCCCCCTCCTTATTGGAGTGTAAATGTGCTTCGTTTTTAATGATGCTTTAGGGTAAATATTTTATCAACTTTTGAGGTAACATTCCTATGCCCATTTCGTCCTCGATCGTAGAAAAAGAATGGACCACCAGGGAATTTCACGTCACCAAGAATCACTCATTGGTTTATTTAAATGAATAAACATTTGTACGCTCTAATTGGATCAAAGACGTATTTTCCACCTCGATCGATTCTCCTTGAATCACTGAATTTACCTTTAGGCCCCTCACTAAGCCACATTTTGTTGATACACTACACAAATGAAGAGCACTAAAATTACTCAAAAGTGGCAGTGAGTCTACTTTGAAGGCATCAATCGTGTAAGATGCTGGATTATTCGATACTGGATGATATCGAAATGTTGCATTAGTAAATATGAAGATCTCCGATCAAATTCTCTGAATTGATAACACACCTGTTCTATGCAATTTCTTCAAGTGTTATAGTGTCAGAGAACCATTCTTACAGAATGCTACTATCACGTAAGTCACAATTTGTGGTTACTTTTTGGTGGCCTCTACTTAGGGCGTATTTCAAAGTGAAAACAAAAATTGGTATATTGACCTATTTGGAATCCAGCACCATCTAAAATCAGTTTATGATTCGGTTGTCTGAAAGTGAATTGACGGCTTGATGATCTCTTGAACATTCGTCGTATTTTAACTTTCTTTAGTTAACTAAACTTAGGAATCGATTGTCAAAATAACTTTATAGATCGTTACATCGATTCCATTGCATTTACTTCCGACTTTCTGTGTAGTTCATTGAATTGACATTTCATGGTTGTTTCCCCTTCCTTTGTCACTGGGGGTCAGTGAAACACAGCATCATATGCGAAGCTTCCTCACTGAAGACAGTGTACGAAATCAGTAAACGGTTGGCGTTTGTGGTCAGTATTGTGTTTAACGAATTGATTGGCTTGACTGCAGAGAAACTGAATCCTGGTCTACCAAGTAAGTATGTATTACGCCATCTTGTTGCCCTCACTGCGTAGGCCTTATAATATGAGTGTTTTTAACTACCCACACAAAGCACATGAACCCTCTGATGATTACGTGTTATATCGGGACGGATGTCAGTTCGTATAAAGCGTACAATGGATTATTCCGCTAATGACAGATGACCCCTTCACACCAGTGATTAGGCAATTGAAACAGATCGCGTTTACACTACTGATCTTTAGGATTACATTGGATATTGGTAACCCTTCCCCCCAGATTGCCTACTCATAATGTATTGGGCTGCCGTCCAGTAGTGGGGGAGTAAGGCGTAGATACACACCTCGATGGCTATCGGTGAATACTAAAGGAGCGTACACGGAATGTAATACACCTCAAATTTCAAATGACAATTCGTCGTGTATATAGCAAATGAAGCGTGAACTGAAAAGCTCGGAAGCACTGGACAGCTGTCTCGACCTGGTTGGGTCTCATCAGCAGTGCGAATCCATCGACCCGACTGGGGATCGAACCCGGGACTTCATGGGCAGAACGCAAGCGTGCTACCCACTACGCCACCGGGCAGCTGATCAGACCGTTTTTCATTTTCCATTTACACGATATAGCACAACCCATCTTTGAGAGTTTGTTGCGGGCCACGGACCCTGCTCAACTCAGCACTAGCCTCCAGGGTTATGACTCGGTTGGAAACATTCACAACCTGTCTCATTATTTCATGTGGGTAATGGAGTAGTGGGTAGCACGCTTGCGTTTTGCCCATAAAGTCTCGGGTTCGATCCCCAGTTGGGTCGATGGATTCGCACTGTTGATGAGACCCAACCAGGTCGAAACAGCTGTCCAGTGCTTCCGAGCATTTTAGTTCACGCTTCATTTGCTATATACACGACGAATTGTCATTTGAAACTTAACCAAATCCTCCATTACCCACACCTCAAATTGTGGGACAGTCCAGGTCCACATGCAGAAGGAAGACGCACAACGTCAATCAGCAAGGGGAATGGATTTCAAGGTGCGTAGAAGGCAGTGTCAAAACAGATGACGACCAAAAATGAAATTATCTCAGCAGTTGATCCACATAATTCATGGCATGCGTAGTCTTGCTGATTAAGGAGAATATGGTGGTACAGTAAACAAAGTGGGGTCGCGGACACGCATCACACGATCAAATCACGTGACCAAATCATTAGGGGAAACTGTTGTACAACAAACATGTCGTATTGAGTAGACTTAAAGTAACACTCATGCAGAATGTGCATGACATGAAGTAAAGAAATGATTGATACACACCTGGCGCTATTATGTAGATGAAATGTGTATATGAACATTGGATCTAGCGTGGTTCATCGAATTGGTGGTAGGAATAAATTGGTTGATCATAAAGTAAACGTCTTTGACATATTAAAACAATACAAAATGTTAGACATGATTCCTCGCGTTTCATGAAACATATTTCACACTATTTATCGCCAAATAAGCTGTACTTGCAGCCCCAACCTAAAGAAATAAATTTGATTTTGTGACAAGCACAGCCAGAATATGTAATAAGAACCCCGTCCTTTTATTGGCTCATATCACGCTAATCGGCACCTTGTTTCAATCTCTCTATGGAAATGGTCGGATGTTTGAACATCGGGTGTAGCTCATTATTGCTCGAGAGATCCTCCCGAAAAGTTTGGACTTAGGCTGAAATGTCCTTCGCGAAGCAACGTCAGATGTAAATCGTCTCCGAAAGATGCATTCTTATTAGAACTGCTTTCATAGGGCCAAATGAAGCCTTTGGAACCCCAGCCGGGTCAAGCGAAACTGTGCTGGCCGACGCGTTGACCTTCGATCAACCGTTAGAAACTTTCCCCCAAATCTATGNAATCTATGCACACGAAGTACAATGTACAGGTAAATGGAGAACTGCTCAAGTTTTACTGACAAATATCTCCGGTAAATGATGAGGACGTTTATCCTGTTCGGAATATAGTTTAGTGTGAAGGTCTAGTTACCCCCCCCCTGAGGATAGCAACGGGTACTGCACTCGATGTCCAGAATTGGACGATCGGGTCATGCGCACGGGGTACTGGAGTTTCTACCAAATTTAAGTCATTTTCGAAGCTAACTGGAGTGGAATTTATAGAGACCGAGAAGAAAAAGAAGAAAAAGTTGGAATAAAATCCGAGCAGTCAATCCAGAATTGTTTGACATAAAAATGAACAACTAATTGTTTGACGCTGTGAAAATTTCGAGTCATCCAAGTTATGATAACTGCTTGTTCATGTTCGTGGTGCCAATGTAAATGAGGTATTCTAGTTAAAACTAGTTCTTTAGGATGTTCTAACAGTTATAGTTTTTGTAACCATAAAAATCCAGACTTAACTATCAACAAATACGAACTGTTTGAACGATACGTGCCCTATTAACCTAGGTGAGCTAGTTCGAATAAAAAATGTAATAACTGTACTGTGAAGACCCCAACAAGCAGATCACAGAGGCTAAGAGGGGTTTTATATAAACATTTTCGCTCGAAGAACTTTGGAAATCGATTCGAAGAACCCGGTCCAACATGCAATTGTCGGCTAGCTTTTATTCTCCTTCAAGGATGTCGCGTTTTAATCGTGTTTAGTAAGATGAATACGGTATTTTGCAATTAAATGTTGCGATCTTGTTATCATATATTTTGCACACATTTAGTGCAAACAAATTTCACTTTATTTTCCCGTAAATTTAGGTATCAACTTTGAACAGGCGATGCTGAACTTAGTTAAAGGAGCCATATACGGAACTGATTTATCTTCTCGTGGAGTCCTGACGGAACTTTTGGCGTCTGCTGGAGGTGGTATTGATGCACTTCGTCAGCTGCTTGTAGGAGATGGAACCACTGCACCACTGGATGCTTTGAAAGCGCTGTTGATGAGAGATGGGAACCCATTAGATGCCTTGGGTGATTTATTGCAAGGAATTTCCGATGATCCACTCGAAGCTTTGTTATCCCTTACTGAAACATTGGGTGGCAAGGCTGCAGGAATCGCGAACCTTCTATCTACCTTGGAAGGTGATCAAGCAGAAAAATTGGCGGGACTAATTCAGCGCGTTGGTGGTGGTTCTGAAGGCTTGCAAAATTTGATCAAAGTAGCTGGTGGCGGAGCAGAAGGAATAGAAAATATATTGGAGGCAATTTTGGGCGGCAAACCGGGAAGTAACGATGAGGTTGTAGCTGGTCTTGCCAGCATTATTGCGGCTGCCGGAGGAGGAGCGGAAGGTTTATCCGGACTAATAGAAGCTGCCGGGAAGGGTGCGGAAGGGTTAAAAAATATTCTCAGTGCCAGTGGTGGTGGAGAACAAGGTTTAAAAAATCTTTTGAATGCACTAGGAGATGATACCGGTGAGTGATATCCCTCAAGCTGAAATGAAAGCATATAATGAATGTATATTATTACTAATAATATGCTTGTTATTTGCTTGTCGATCACCGTGCTGAGCAGGGATAACAACTCTGACACCTTATTTGAAATTTCTCTGCTCGAGGTCTGGCAGAGACGAAAAATCTGTCCACTGCGTTACAGTAACAAATAACTCTGTACACCTGTCCAGTGCTAACCAGTCTTCTTCGTTAACCATCTCCATTGAGATGAATTCAATATACACTGAAGAAAAGCACTTCAAAGGATTGAAATCTATACCAATGTACTTACACAAGGTCCAGTTCCCCTCAAAAAGCGAACTGACTAACCCCGCCTTCCCCCTATCCTTCGCAAAAATAACCATTCTAACTGACAAAAAGGTATATTGGTATTGGTAACTGGAATACATAAACACCCTGGTATGTAAAATGTATGCTTTGGAGATTCACAATTTTCCCGTCACTACGGAAAGTTTCACGCAACATAAAACTGCACTGAACATACAATAAATTCGCATCATCAGAAATAAAACAATCACCAATAGAATAAGAGCACGCATAATCTGGTAACATATGAATTCCCATGCAGTACACACACAAGTTTTTTTTTCGTTCCCTTAAGATCCAGGTGTTTACCATAGATTGTAAATCGTAGAATCTCTTTCCAAACCGAAAGTTTCTGGTTGCACTTCATTCACGAACACAAAACATTTGGCACTTCTGAAGGGTGTCTACGGAGGCAAAACAATTTTCTTATGTCATTTGCGACCCTGCCCACAAATTTCGTTTCAGATAGAAATAATAACAAACTTTGTGCTTAACAAAATTGAAGTCAAAAGTGTAAAATTAGCACTCATGAAGATAAAATGAATCAAACAAAATATTGATTTATTATATTAAATAAGGAATATTTACAAGGTTGTGATGGGACTTCAATAAGTGACATCTTAGTGATGTAAAACGACCTACAATGCTTTACTACCACTGAAAACGCTTTATACGATCATTCAAACTGAAAGCCACAATGAGGTGTGTGCAATGTTATTTATTTTTATTAATTAATTTATTTTTATGCTTCCAATTTATCACTAAACAGCAAGTCTTTTGATCACATGCAGAATTCTATCGACTAAACCCAATAGACTACTAATCAGTTTACTTTATCCCCTTACCTCTCGTTCTACTAATCAGAAGCAGCACTATCCACACTATTGGCCTCAGTGGGTGGTGGTAGTGAAGGTGTGACAAACTTGCTCAATGCCGTTGGAGGAGGAATTGAGGGGATTAAATCTGTGTTGAATTCGATAGGAGGGGAAGCGGAAGGACTGAAGAAACTAATTGCTGCAGCCGGAATTAATCCGGCAGACGTTTTGCGTAGCCTGATCAAGGCGGCAGGTGATGAGAGTAATGGTTTGGAAAACTTGATAAGTATTATGGGGGATGCGGGATTTCAAGGCTTGCTCCAGGCTGCGGGTAGTGATCCGGCGGATGCATTACGCAATATCCTGGAAGCAGCGGGTGGTGGAGTGGAGGCCACAAAACAACTGCTTGGAGCGTTAGGTGGAGGTGCGAACGGGTTGCAGACTTTGTTGAGCGCGATGGGTCCGGACCCGGAAACAGCCCTGAAGAACCTGTTGACCGCAACCGGTGGAGGTGCAGAAGGTTTAATGAATCTATTAAAGGCCAACGGCGGTGGAGCTGAGGCACTGATGAACCTACTCAAAGCCGTCGGTGGTACAGAGAAAGACGCTTTGAATATCATACTGAATGCTGTCGGTGGAGGAGTTGAAGGTCTAAAAAATCTGTTGAAAGCTTCTGGTGATGAAGCAGAGGCACTGGCATTCATTCTTGAAGCGGCTGGTGGAGGTGCTCGCGGTCTGATGAACCTACTGAGTAGTCTCGATGATGACCCGGTGAAAGCACTAAGCGCTTTGCTTTCTGATTCAGGTCCAGGTAAGTGAAATACACTCCACTACCCTTCCGTTTGGTGGCTTGGAAAAAATAAGTCACCTTGAGTTTTCACGGCGTTTAAGACATTTCTGTACACAACTTATGCAACTTGGATACGGAATTTACAGAATGTTTGAATAACATTAGCGATATATGATATTTGATTTAAGTCAATATACAGCAAACGACATCTCAGACGGATTTTTGGCTATCTACCTGCTGCGTCATCCAGGGGGTGTTTTGATTTATTATGAGATGCAATGCGATTCATTTATCAAGTTTATTGTGGATGACTTTCGGTTTCTTCAAAAGCCACTGAACTATCGGATCAGTATTCATGAAGATCTTCAAACTTGATTTAACGCCAAAAAGCATTGGGAATCAAGGCTATAGAATCATTGTTGATGGCCATAACGGATAACAAATTCAAGAACTAATATATCACGACTGAACGATAATAGTGTAAAGATGATGAAGTGCACGATTCTTAAACTAAGGGGAGACAAATATAATCCTATCTTACGAATGATCTTGTGCTAACTCAAATTCAGTTCAACTCATCCCTAGCCTAAGTTATGCGAAATCGCTAAAATGAATTCTTTTCTTCCACAAGCTGTGGGATGTTTCGCCCGGAATCATTCAAGCCGTTTACGTACTATCAAACTAAAGAGTGACAGGAAAGTTTTGAACCAAGCCAATTGAGTGAGTACAAGTGAGACGGTTTTACGAGAGAGAGTCAATCGTTTGATCGAACTTGAATCTATTCTGTGAGCAGATATTTCTCTNACTAGTGTTTCCCTCGACACCGCGAAATAATCCTCTTCGGGGTGTCGAACCAATTCTAGCTAACCCCATCCATTACAGAAGTTCTCAATGCATATGTTGCAGACACTTCGGACATCAGGTTCTCCGTGGAATGGGGGACTCTCAGTAACCAGCAAGACAGGAAACGCAAAACAATGCAAAGCAGCAAAATGGCAGCGATGTGCCCAACGTGCATAGCGTCACAAAGACCTGTGATTCCTTATTTAATTCTCATATTTTTGCACAGAGAAACAGCCTTCAATCTAGAATGACCAAAGGTATATCCACTGAGATGCAATCTGTAATGCATGTAGGCCACACCATGTTATTACTACGGCACAATAACCAGGTTCTTGTCAGAAGTGAGTTGTGTACTGTGTAGTAGTCAAACGAGATCAATATCACGGTTGACCTTTGGGCTCTAGGGATCAAGGTTCAAAACCAGCCAGCGCCATTCAACGGGGATGGTCGGCAGTTCCTTGTCGTCCGAGTCAATACCACATCTAACCTAGTTGTTCACCAGTCAAAGTCCATTTGCCAGTTTCCACAAGTACACAACACGGCATCATGACTACAAGATTTGGAAGTGAACAATGGAAATTCCGAAATCTATTCGTCTTGNATTTTGGGTTTTCCCCTGATTTTTCGATACTGTGAAAACCTGTAGGGAAGGGGGGGCTGGCGGAAGAAACGTTTTCACCTCTGTGTACATTGTACGGGACTTATTCTTCAACTGCGGCTGTGTATTGGTACCCATTTGAATCTTTCCGGTATGTATCTATCGGCATGTATCTCTGCGTTGATTTGCTTACCGATCCTCGTGTTCATTCCTAAGAGGTAATACTGTTTTTCATTTCACAGTAAAAATGACTTGATCGCATGTAGAGTTTTGTAGTTTCTTCACATCTGAAATATGTTCAAATGTACTTCTGTGTCCATACGTGTTATTGTAAAATTCCACAACGGAACATTGATTATCAAGCTATTACAGTAACCGCAAATGTCCCAGTGGAAATTTCAGCCTTCTGCATCAATTAATTCAACGCGAGCTGAACATGTAAAAGGCTTGTGAAACTACTCAAATTGTGAACGTAACTGACAGATCATACGAAAGAGAACTACCAACTAGGTCATGCACACTTTGTCGCCTCTATTTATTATGTTTCACAGAAAATTCCCAGCTTGAACTTATTCCAAATTCCCCAGTCTCAAACGTTTATTAATGACTTCTAATCCCAAGAATCTGTATTTGAGAAGGCCACGGTCTCTTACTTGCTACGAACTTGCAAACTTGGGTTCAAATTAACAAAGTGATCAGCTTACCATGACTTAGTGGGTTTTACACTTGTATTCCGAACCTCATGTCCCATCCTCGGTTGGATCAATCGATTCACATTTGTGATCACATCGAATTAGCACAGAACAGGAACTGGTAAAGCAATAGTTCTTCACCGAGAGGAAAGCTCAACTGATTGAGTGTTGCGGGATCGATCGGCAAGTAGGTCATACACTGAACGGTACAAATTTCAGCATGGCTCTACCATGTATAGATGTTTGATATAAGTTCTGCATACACTGTAATGCGGTAAATGAAATATCGAAAATAATTCTCTATGGCAAATTTCGTTGAAGCAGGTTTGTCCTACCGGCAGTTGTATTCCCTGTCGAAAGTAAGAATCAATGTGAGACCATTTCTTATTAAGTTTTTTTCTGCTTTGAATCTCATAGGTTTAACAAATCTGCTTCGTGCAACCGGAGGTGGTGCTCAAGGCCTTCAAACTCTACTCAATACGATTGGTGGGGGTACACAAGGATTGGCCAATTTATTAACGGCTTTGGGTGGTACGGATGATAACCGGTTGGATGCGCTAAAATCTCTGATTTCACAAACTGGTGGAGGAGTTGAAGGGCTAACCAACTTGATTCAAGCACTCGGTGGGGGTGCGGNGGGTTTGAGTACCTTGCTGGCCACACTCGGGGGAGGTGAGAACAGCATCAAGCAATTGCTCGAGACCATGGGTGGAGGTAGCGAAGGTCTGAGTCAGCTACTGTTCGCATTTGGTAATCATCCCGAAGAAGGCGTTCGTGCACTTTTAAGGGCAGCTGGCGGTGGAGTCGCCGGTTTGAATGCTTTGCTAAACCTGATAAGTGACGATCCTAACGGTTTGAGTAAGTTGATGAGTTCTTTGGGTGGTGGAGCGGAAGGACTTAAAACTTTGCTTGCCGCGTGTGGAGAAAATCCTGCAGAAACTTTGAAAGCATTGATAGCATCTATGGGTGGTGGCCCTGAAGGTTTGAAACAATTGCTTCTTTCTATGGGCATGGACCCTAACGATCCAGAATCGCTAAGGGCATTGCTATCAGTCTTCGGTGGGGCGGAAGAAGGCTTGACATCGTTAGTGGCTGCGTTGGGAGGCGGTACTGATGGCTTAGCTGCTCTGATTAAAGCACTTGGTGATGACG